TCAGGGTGAATCTGCTCTCGTCTGTGAAAAGCACAGGGCGACAGTGGCCGACTAGCCAATTCCTGTGTTCTGTGGTAAATGCCAATGGAGCTCCACGGCCCAGTAGAGGACGCCGGGCCCTCAGGGCATCCTCATTAAGTCTGTTTCTGAGGTTATATATTTTAACCTAACGGAATATCTTCAGAATGGCTCCACATGACACTAAACTCATCTGGGTGAGTAGAACATGATGGAATAACGGAAAATCAAGGGCCCAATGTGAAAAAAACGGCGTTCCCCTTTAAGGACCAGCACCAAGTACCTTATAGAATCATTCTATCACCCCTTAAAGCAGGGGTGTCAAAGTCAAATGGATGGAGGGCCAAATAAAAAATTTAGCTACAAACCGAGGGCCGGACTGATCGAATGTTCATTAAAAAAATTTTAAATGAGGCATATAGTCTAGTGAACCTACTGAAAACCTAACAAATATATTCCAAAATGATCAGATAAATAAAGCAATATTTTCTTATGGCTCTGTCAGTAATCTTTAATTTTCAACAGACACAAAAGACAAATTTCCTATATATAAAAATCTCCATAACATGAACATTAAATGAAAGAAACCTGTATTATTCAAGGCACCATCAGTAGGCTATATTTTCTATTTTAGCAAAAGTGAGCTAAATTTACTTTAAAGAAAAAAATAATAGCAATTTTCTATCATCCACTCAACTGAAATATTTTAAAAATATAATTGGATTGAAATACAATAAAATAAAGTGCAAAAAATCTATTAATCAAAAACAACTTTCCTCAAGCAGTGAAAACAAATATTAAACTTTAACTTTTAAACTTGAACTGAGTAAAAACTCTAAATATGTGATTGCACAGTAATGTTCACTTGTTTGAGGTTGAGGGTGATACTTGGTGGTGTCCCATCTTTTCCACAAGTTCATTAACCCATTTAGGCCTAAAACGCCTGGAAAAAACACCTTAAAAACCTATGGCCGATTTTAAAAAATACCCCTAAAACCTGAAGTTTTTCTGTAAATTCAGCAACTGTGTCAACGCCTAAATTATTGATATCTCAGCTTCTGTAGCAGATAGAACTCAAAATATATTTTATCTTTGAAATTCTTCCAAAAAAAAAAAATGTGAAAAGCAGTAATCAAAAAAAAAATTCAACCTTTTATTTTTTCCATATGTGATCATGTCTTCATTGAGAATGTGCAATATAAAACGTTTTCAAAATAAAGAACAAACATTACATAAATAACTATCTGATGATTACTTATTAACAGTATTATTATGCATAATAATGCATATGTCTGTGTTATAAATTGCATACAACTTACCTCCAGATGGCCACAAATCTGTCCCGGGACATATTTTGGGGGAACTGCGTCCTGAAGAGAGGTTTACATACACAGCCCAATAAATGTCTTCATCTCCGTCACAGTCACGGGTGACCACTTTGCCATCTTTGCTCTTGTTGGAGTTTGGTTTGTTTGGTCACTGTACCTATTCGTCTCGGTAACTAGATGCATCCAAAGTTCTTCATTAAAAATATGCTCAAATGCCTGCAGCGGTGTGGCGTCTGCAGGCAAATCAACTTTCACTCCAGGTGTGCGGTTGAAAACACTCCGTGCATTGCGGTGGTAGTTCGATTGGTTCAGTGCGTTCAAAGTCATCATTTTCATCTATACCGTCATCAAAGCCGACACACTCCTCAAAATCACTGCCTTCCGACAACTCTTCTCTGTCAAACTCCTCCATGTTTGCTTGAAAAAAACTTCTTTCTTCTTGCTTGACTTATATGCTCTCCCGGCGTCAATGGTAGAATGACGCAACAGCGCCCCCGGCTTGAATGGTAGAAATGCGGTAATGCTTTCCCGGCCTAAATGGGTTAATGTTCGGGGCAAGGCTCTGAGCTGAGCATTTTTGATGGGTATCTGAAAGTTAATTTTACAGTTATGCTGACGACTGCTGTGCTAATAAAGACTGAAATGAAGCAGCCTACTGCTCGGTGTGTCACCATTGCATTGTTGGAAATGTAGTATTGGTGCGTGTAAAAGATCTGCGGTCTGCGGGCCGGTTCTAATAATAAATCAAGATCATCCCAGGGGCCGTAAAAAACCTTTCTCGCGGGCCGGATCTGGTCCGCGGGCCTTGACTCTGACATATGTGCCTTAAAGGGATATGGCTGAGTTACTTTGCTCTTCTATGATGGGGAACCCAGACAAGACAGAATGCAGAATGGGATGCTGCATTTCCATGTAAGGAACTGAAGGTCCAGGCCTTGCAGGCCTTCCTGCCTCCAATACAGTCTAGACCGGAGGTCTTCAACAGGGGGTCCGCGACCCCTAGGGGGTCCACAGAGGTTCTGCATGGGGGTCACGAAAGTTTTGGTTGATTAGACTTTTTTTTTATTTCCCCCTGCAATTTTTTCCACTAATTAAAATGTCTTTAAATCCACATTAACCTGAATTCAACACACTGTAGTAAACAGATAAATGGAGGCAGAAGATGCCTTTCAGTCATCAATGCTCACATTCAGAGACACACACACTGCAAAAACTGTTAATCTAATTTAGTAATTATTTCTTAAAATAAGTGGATTTCTTCTTAAATTGAGCAGACACTTTGCTAATGGAATAAGACCATTAACATTTGAAATAAAAAAAAAAATAACTGAAGTCTCTTATTTCAAGGGCATAATATCTAATTATCTTATTTCAAGGGTAAAAATGCTCATTCAATTCGCAGATCATCTTATTTACCGGCTTACATTACTCATTTGTAGAATGTTTTTGCAGTGCAGGATAGGGCTGCAACTAATGATTATTTTAAAAATCGATGAATCGGACGATTCATTTTTCGATTAATCGATGAATCGGACAAAAAATATTTTTTATATTAACCTCTTTATTCCAAAATAAACATTTTATTCAGAACAAACAAGCACACAAGTACAGGTTACCCATTAACTGTACTGGTGCAATATGAAAAATAAATGTTTGTGTTAAAACTACGCAAACTTACATGAGAAATGTAGCTGAACATCCACAAAATATAGGATACTTTGTTTCATAAAGCGCAAAAAAAGACATTTTTGTTTTTAAAAGCCCCTAAGGGGTTCAAACAATAGGCCCCCCCCATTTCAACAAATGAGTTTTTTTAGACTAGAAGAGTTCTGCCTTTTAAGACAGGAAAGTATAGCAGTTAAAGTTGCTACTTGAGAAAATACTGAACCATAGAGATAAAAATAGCCCTGAGATAAAAATTAATTGACATATTACTGATCTTGCTGGATTTTATTCTGCTTTACTTCCATAAATTGCAGGATCTTCTTTACTTTATCTTTGCCAGAAGATTTAAACTTTAAATGCCTTGCCCTCATAATTTGCAAGTTAATTTATTTATAAAGTAAATGTAAACGCTGCTTAAGCTAATTCAAATGAAACTAATGTAACGTTTCCCCACTTTAAAACCAAACAAACATGGTGTTTCCGTGCCATGTTAATTTCTTTTGAAAAAAGTTGCATGTTATCACTTTTTTCGCTTTACAAAGCGCAGGCTATTTTAATTATTGTGATCAATTTGCGCCGTCAATCCCGGCGCATGCGCGCTTCATTTGCAGTCTGGATGCTGAGGGTAAACATCCTGCGGCTCTGACTGCAGCGCTGAGAGGGACTCCTGCGGGAAAACGCGGTTGGGATGGGGGAGGCGCCCCACGGCAGAGTAGGAACGATACATGCTTTCATGTAAGAGTCTCTAAAAGCCGCCAGTGACACCGATAAAAGTCGCCAGATTTGTCGCTATTCGCTTTTTTGAAAAATAGTCGCTGGAGGGGTCTGAAAAGTCGCTGAGTTGGCAACACTGCACCTGCGGCGCTGGCTCGCTCTGCCATATTTTTTTTTCTTCCTCTTTCAGTCAAGAGGCAGTGATGACGGCGCGGCGGATGACGCAATAATCGCGCGACACAACTAATCGATGATGAAATTCGTTGCCAACGCTTTTAAAAGTCGATTTTTATCGATTTTTATCGATTTTATCGATTCGTTGTTGCAGCCCTAGTGCAGGAGCTCTTTCAAGCTGGGAACCGATTCATTCACAACACCAGTCCCAACCAGGAATCACAATCAGAAATACTTTAATAATCCCATGGAGAAATTACTTTTGTTACATATAGGACCAGTTTGATATAACACAATTGAATGCAATATATATAATTAGGGGGTCCCCGCTCCATCTAGACATCAGTTTGGGGGTCCTTGGCCTGGAAAACGTTGAAGACCCCTGGTCTAGACTTATAAAAAGTGCCAGAAGAATTCAGTTGTTGAACTGTAATTACTTCATTTTATGATTCAAACTATTTTTACAGGACACAACCATAGCCCTGTTGCCCTGCTGATTGCTACATTTTAGCGGAAAATGAGGAAGGCTTTATCCTTTAGGCCTGTTTTTCTCTTTCTTACCATAAATCTTTTTTTTTTATATATACGATAGAACAGAGAAATTTTTTTAGAAAACCATTTAAAATCTGCTCAGCCTCTCACACATTCAGCTGGGGTATGTCTCTTCCAGGTAAAGGTGAACAGGAAGTCCTGCTGAGGCTATGGTGTCGCATTACGTCCTCATTTGCCAGACAGTCACTGTGGTGTTGGATGTAAATGCTTTACTTCCTTTAATAATTCTTTATGAAGAAACAAATTTAGGCCAGAATGAACTTCATGTCTCCAGGTTGCTTGACAGGATCCACTCGTTCCTCAAACTCAAGGACAGAGTTTGGTGCTTTTATATGAGGTGTCCTTTTTTTAAAATCACCAATAGAAAGTCTTTCTGCTGTGTTTGTCTTTACAGACCACCTTCAGGATTATGTTGGAAAAGAGGAGGTTTTCTCTGACCAGCAGCTCTGTCGACAGGAGAGGATTTCCAGTTTGGACCAAGAGGAACCAGAACCTCTGCAGATAAAAGAAGAGCAGATAGAACCAGAACATCCCTGGAAAGAAGAGGATACCATGGAGCTCCCCATAAGTGAGCATGAAGAGCAGCTTGTTCTGAAGCAGGAGACTGAAGATACAGGAGAGAAACCTTTCCCAGGTTTGACATGTGGAAAACGCTTCACTCAGAAATCTAGTTTAAATAAATTCACACAGGTGAGGGAGGGACATTCAGTACAGTTCTTTGAGCTGATTGGGTACCCACCTCCTATGTTGAGCCAGTTTTAGCCAATCACAGCCGCAGTAGCAGCTGTGACCTGTCAGATTCTTGATTTGTTTTACGGCGTTAACTGATAAATCAAATTCTTACCAAATTTGGTTGAGATGATCACACAAACATCTTTTCCAACCTCAACGGCAAAAACGTGTCATTTTGCTCATATCTAAAAGAAATAGAGGGTATTCCAGCTAAAAGCAGATATTTTTGTTTTGCTTCAGCCTTCCGCCTCTGGTTGACATGTTGTCGTCATTGACGTCTGCATTTCCAATTGTTCAAAAGGAACAACTGGCTTCATTAATTTCATCCTGTATGATATCTGATGCTTTAGACTTAAGGTGCATCACATTGATGCTCAGTTGCTCCACCACAGACTGAGTCATCAAATAGGAGGAGCTTGAGCTGCATGAATCTTTGTCATGAGAATAACTAAAAGTTTGTCACAGGAATGTAGTGTGGATTAATTTTTACGCTTCAGATCGAAGTAGAAAGAAACTGGAGACGGAAAAGATTGAACTTGTGTTTTTTTCTGCAGAATAATGTGATGGAAAAATGTCATCTATGTTAACTTCAACCTGTTTTTTTTTTTTAGATGTTCTGCATTACCCATACTGTGTCTTAAGAAGAGGTGCATTATGTCTTTTTACTGTCATTTTAAAACTTTGGAGTTGGAGTCAGAGAAGGTTTACAGTGTAGCTCTGCACTGAGGTCAGCTAAGCAGAATAATAGATAAATAGTTGGATCAGACCAGAATGAGACAGAGATCTGGCTTTCTGGAGTGCACCCCCCCCCTTTTTTTTGGCCTTCTGTGATAAATGTGTGCATAACCCTCGTTTGGGGCTTATACGTAGGGTCACAGTGGAGCTGGTGCCTTTCTCCAGCAATCTCTGGGCAAAAGATCACAAAAACCTGGATGATTCAGCAAAACAAAAATCTGAAAAATAGTTAAAACATTTCTTTAATAATCAAGTATCTACAGGTGATCAGATCTTATAGCTTTGCTGATAAAAGTGGATGTCCTAACCTTGCCAGATGGTGGAGCATTAACCAGTATTTTATAACCTGTGATTGTGGCGTCACAGCTGCGGTGCATGCTGGGAGATGTAGTTCCAGTCTGTTTATATATAGTTAGATCAACACAATGATGATTAAAGTGAAGTGTCCTTTCTTTAACCTACAATAGAAAGTTTTTCTGCCGTGTTTGTCTTTACAGACCACCTGCAGGATTATGTTGGAAAAGAGGAGGATTTCTCTGAACAGCAGCTCTGTGGTCAGGAGGTAAATTCCAGTTTGGACCAAGAGAAACCTTTGCAGATAAAAGAAGAGCAGATAGAACCAGAACATCCCTGGACAAAAGAGGAAACCATGGAGCTCCCCATAAGTGAGCATGAAGAGCAGCTTGTTCTAAAGCAGCAGACTGAAGATACAGGAGAGAAACATTTCCCATTCTTGACAAGGGGAGAAAACCTTCTAAAAAAAGAATATTTTAAGGTTCACACTCAAAATGGTCGGAAGATTTATGAATGTCTGTCCTGTGGAAAAATTTTCCCAAAGAAATATTATCTTGATAAACACATCAGAATTCACATAGGTGAGAAGCCTTTTTCCTGTACTGTTTGTAACAAGAATTATACCAAAAAGAGTCATTTGGCTTATCACATGAAAGTTCACACAGGTGAGAAACTTTTTGAATGTCTGTCCTGTGGAAAAAGCTTCACTCAGAAATCTAGCCTTGAAACACACACCAGAATTCACACAGGTGAGAAACCTTTTTCCTGTACTATTTGTAACAAGAATTTTACTGACAAGGGTAGTTTGACTAGACACATGAGACTTCACACAGGTGAGAAGCCCTTTTCTTGCACCCTTTGTAATAAGAATTTTACAGAAAAAGGTCATTTGACATCTCACATCAGGGTTCACACAGGTGAGAAACCCTTTTCTTGTACCGTTTGTAAGAAGAATTTTAATCAAAAGAGTAGTTTGACTTCTCACATGAGGGTTCACACAGGTGAGAAACCTTTCGAATGTCCGTCCTGTGGAAAAAAATTCACTCAGAAATCTAGCCTTAATACACACTCCAGAATTCACGCAGGTGAGAGCCGTTTTCCTGCACCATCTGTTACAAAGATTTTACTAACAAGAGTCATTTGACTCGACACATGAGGGTTCACACAGGTGAGAAGCTTTTCTCCTAAATTATTTGTGACAAAGGGTTTAAACGAGAAGGTAATTTGAGTATTCATATGACTTTTATTCATGCATGATGTGAAATGATTTATATTTAAAAAAGAACCATTTGTTTCACATAAGTCAGAGCAGTTAGACGCTAACATAATAGTGAAGACTTAACCTCTTACACCCTCAGGGAGTATAAATAAATTTCTGCCTGACAAAAACACACAAAAGTAAATCACTTATAGCCTCACAGCTATTAGATTTAAGAAGAAACTTTTGGTACCTCTGTAAAGGTAAGATGTCATAGAATGGTTTTCTGGTGTCAGCACCATTGTAGCTTTGACCCTGCCTGAAATATTAGGGACAAAATACAAAATATTTTGCATTTTTTGAACCTCGCCAAAATTTTCTTTGAAATAAACATTGCAAAACACTACCAAAATATTATTTATAGCACAAAAAAGTAGTACAGACTTTTAAATCTAAATGTTGTGTAAAAATATACCAAATTTGGACTCAATCAAATGAATCATATTTATTTTAGAATGGTATTAGTGAGACATTTCTTAGGCGGAGGGTCATTTTGGCACATTTATCCAAAAATGTTACCAAACTGTGCCAAATGTGTTTTTTACATTAATACTGGGGGTTTGGTAAAATTACGAGGTCACGTAGCAGCTGGACCCACCTGTGGGTCCGTAGGGTTCAAGGGGTTAAGGAAAAACAGTAACATACTGTACTGTAAAGTGATTTAACAATATCAAACTGCGCACCTGGAGAATAAATAACCAATATCCAGCTATGGACATTTTACAGTAATAGATATTTGAAAAAAGCAGCAATGTGCAAAATGACAGCAGCATGTTAAATTAACTAAGGTTTTATATAATCACGTTGGTTTTATTCCACTCTGGATTCTCATGAGTGTAGTCTTTGTTCACTTACCAATAAAAAAGAAAATTCAAACAAAACATTGTTCAGTTCGGTATTCATTCTTTTCCAGCTTTGTGTGTCACCTGTCATGGTTGCTAAGTGATAGATCGTATGCGGAGGAAGACGTGGAAGGAAGGCCGGACCTGTTTGAATCTGCAGCCAAAACTCTTCAGGTCTCATTATTTTTCAAGGACTTCGAACGATCCAGACCGCGTCCTTGGAGGATGCAGCCCATCAATTGGAACACAGCCGTCGTCTTGTTTTGTAAAGCTTTCAGACCATTTCCTTTCCATAAAGTGCAGCAGTGATCAAATGTAAACGGTGTGAGAGAAAAGACATGGTGCAAAAACCTATTGATATGGAAGTTTGTATAGATGTGTGGTAATATTCAGCAACATTAAAGGTGCAGTAGGAGATCTTTTCTGATGCATTTTTTACCATGTGGCTTAAAGATCTCCCCACAGCCGCTTAGCAAGTAGTGAAATAGAATTTCTGGAAGTGAAACTAAAATAAATGGCCCCCGCTACAGTGAGAAATCGATAAGCAACGTCCACCAATCACAAAACACGGCCTGTTGTACACTATTGGTTCCTGACACATTAGTCATGGTCATCTGCTTGCCCCTCTCCCCTGTGTGCCCACGCTGACTCATGAGCGAATAGCCAACCCCCCCCCCCCCCTATGCTCGTGCAGGACGCCATGATTGGAAGCTAGCCACCGTCGTGCTACGTTCACACCTAAAGCAGCGAGAGCAGCAGAAACACGCTGAAGCATCTTTGCTGCTCCGGCTGTGCGGGCGAAAAGTGGGTCTGATGCGCGGTGGGCGGAGCTACCCTATCCTTTCTCTGCCTGGAACAATGGCAGCTATATTAGCTGTGATCAGCGGGTAAAAAGTAGTTAGAATCTATGTTGAAGTGAGAAAGTCCTCCTGAAAACATGGTCTGTGCAGTCAGTTCATCCAGTTTACCATCCTGCCTTCAAAGATTATTTCTCTGTGGGAGCCGCTCAGACCCCCACATACCGGCGGGGCGCTGTCACTGGGAATCCCCAGCAGCAGCTGCCTCTGGCCCAGTCGCCTCCTTGCAGTTTGCTGCAGCGGATGGAAGATGTTTTTCATGTAAGTAATCCAAACTTCAGGCACCAGGATATTAAAAGCAAACATTTTTTGTAGGCAGATTTCGGCATTTTAAGTTGATTTTTGGCGTTAATAAACTGTTTCAGAGGAGTGATCACAGCGCTCTGCATCAGCAGTGCTGTGTCTGACTCCCTGCCAGCTGCTTCTTCACCTGCTTAGACAGCATGCACGTTCATCTGTTTTGAAGGGGTGGTCTGAAGGGAGGGGCATGGTTGTTTAAGTTAAAAATTTGGCTTGCTGGAACCGTTTTTCCAACAACTCCTACAGCACCTTTTAAGAGCAGTCAGTTTTTCTAAAGCAGCTAATCCAAGTTATTGATCACTGATTACTCCAAAGGCAATTGATAATTAAACTATTTTGAACATTTAACCCTTAGTTTCTTTCATCCAAATTGCAAAGCCACAAAACCTCTTCTTTTTGTAACTTTGTATCGTCCACCAGGTCCTTACTCTGAATGTTTAGATGAGTTTCTTTCTGATTTGGTATTAAATACTGACAGGGTCATCATAGTGGGAGATTTTAACATCCATGCTGACATTGAAGGCGATAGCTTAAGAGCAGCCTTTAATGCTATCTTAGACGCTATTGGCTTTGTTTAAAATGTGAATAGTCCCACACATTCTCATCTTCATACTTTGGATCTTGTGCTGACATACGGCATAGAATGTGAAGAAATAACAGTATTTCCTCACAACCCTGTCCTCTCTGACCACGTTTTAATAACCATTAGGAATACTTTAACAAAGTTCTCCTTCTTTATAAGAGGGGTTCACTTTACCAGTGCAGTTATACATTTTAAAGAATTAGTCTCACTTTCTCTTCTGTGTCGCTGAGCAGTGCTGTAGATGGCAAAAGATTATTTTATTCCCCTTCACAGGTTGATGATTTGTTGATGGTGTTGCTAGTTCTTTCAGTACTGCCTTAGACAACGTAGTCACTTTGAAAAAGAAACACTTTTGCATCAAACCGGCTCCCTGGTTTAATGCAGAGCTTCAACTCAAGCAAAATGCTAGGAAAATAAAGAGAAAATGGCACTCTACATGCCAACGGTAACCTTACCTAGTCTGGGAAAATTGTTTACTGCTGCATAAGAGTACTTTTTGTAAAGCAAGAGCAGCATATTTTTCTCATTAATAGAGGAGAATAAGAATAATCTTAGATATAATTTTAATACAGTGGCCAAACTCACCCAGAGCCATAGCTCTGTTGAACCGTCCATGGGCGTAGGTTTGCATAGGGACCATAGGGACATGTCCCTACCAAAATTTGGAACGGACCTATTTGTCCCTACCAATAATTGGATGTAAACAACATGTTTATAATTTACTATACAGCAGCCGCTTCTTTCCCTCTCGCAGCTTCTCTGCCTGGTAGCTGCAGCTGCTGCTCTTTCCTGTCCCTTTCACATAGCAGCGCATCAACTGTGCTGCGCGGTTTAACTCTCTGATTATTCTGCCTTAAGTTCCGCCTTCTCTCTTTCTGATTGTGTGTTTTCTGGTCTGTATGTTCGCGCGCGCGGGTGCTTGGAGCGCGGAAAAAAGACGCTAAAATAAATTAATATTGGGCTACGAAACTAGTCCGAATTAAAAAAAAAATTACGCTAAAACAGGCGAAAGCTTCTGATTGGAGTTCTGTAAAGAAGCAGGAGAGAGTTTTTTGATTTGTGGAACTTGAGAAATGTAAGTTAACAACGTTAGGATTTCTTTTATTTTATCTTTTAATCAGATAGCCAAAGGCTCCTTAAAGAAGATCTTTTATGAAATGAAACCAGGTGAAACAGAAACGTTTAAACGTTTCCTTTGGAGGAGTTCTGGATGGAGAATATTGACAGACAAAAACTTTTTTTTTTTTACCTTTGAAATGCTAATATTTTTTTACCATCTTGGTATAATTCCTGCTCTAAGTGGGTCACTCTGTCGGCTAAAGGCACATTTTAGTGGCCCTATACTCCAGTTTACGATTAATCAATTACTAAATTAGTTCAGGATTATTTAAATAATTTGTTAATATGATTGTTTCAGCCATAGATAAAATACATGAAATTATCTACACAGAGTAACTACAGCCCAGATGTACAACTTCTAATATTAATACTTTAAATGCTCAGTGTCAGTTCCTCTTATAGTTCCAGTGCACATGTAAATACAATACATTTATTTTCCGTCCCTTGAATGTATTATTTTGCATTATCCAGAGAGAGCATATTAGATTAAAAAAAAAATAAGAGTGGGTTTTACCTCTGCACAATTCTATATCTTCAGAAGAAAACACAGGATAAATCCACATATTAAAGACTATATTTGGTTAAACAGACACTGTCTTAGTCGCAGGTAAATTTAAATGCAATCCTTTTCAAAGTGGAAAAAGTCCTAATTCCACATTCATCAGAGCAAGTTATGCTTTAAATATTGATAAACAGCATCTAGTGCATGTAGTGCTTATAAAATTTGTATTAATGTAGCAAGAAATGCTGCTGTTCTCTTTAAACAAAATGAGCCCTGAAGCTCACATTAAGCATAAAAAAGAGCATGAATATTTTTTGCAAAGGACCAATGAAACTGAAGAATAGTGTCCCTACCAAAGTTGAAATCAAACCTACGCCCTTGGAACCGTCCCTTCCACCTGCTCTTAACAGAATTGATTTTATAAATAATATTGATTTTCCAACTCTTTATCTATTGTCACGCATGAATACATGCACGTGGGGGCCATACAAATTACCGATTACCATTTTGAGTTTCGTGTATATATATATACACTCACCGGCCACTTTATTAGGTACCCCATGCTAGTAACGGGTTGGACCCCCTTTTGCCTTCAGAATTGCCTCAATTCTTCGTGGCATAGATTCAACAAGGTGCTGGAAGCATTCCTCAGGGAGTTTGGTCCATATTGACATGATGGCATCACACAGTTGCCGCAGATTTGTCGGCTGCACATCCATGATGCAAATCTCCCGTTCCACCACATCCCAAAGATGCTCTATTGGATTGAGATCTGGTGACTGTGGAGGCCATTTGAGTACAGTGAACTCATTGTCATGTTCAAGAAACCAGTCTGAGATGATTCCAGCTTTATGACATGGCGCATTATCCTGCTGAAAGTAGCCATCAGAAGTTGGGTACATTGTGGTCATAAAGGGATGGACATGGTCAGCAACAATACTCAGGTAGGCTGTGGCGTTGCAACGATGCTCAATTGGTACCAAGGGGCCCAAAGAGTGCCAAGAAAATATTCCCCACACCATGACACCACCACCACCAGCCTGAACCGTTGATACAAGGCAGGATGGATCCATGCTTTCATGTTGTAGACGCCAAATTCTGACCCTACCATCCGAATGTCGCAGCAGAAATCGAGACTCATCAGACCAGGCAACGTTTTTCCAATCTTCTATTGTCCAATCGATGAGCTTGTGCCAATTGTAGCCTCAGTTTCCTGTTCTTAGCTGAAAGGAGTGGCACCCGGTGTGGTCTTCTGCTGCTGTAGCCCATCTGCCTCAAAGTTCCACGTACTGTGCGTTCAGAGATGCTCTTCTGCCCACCTTGGTTGTAACGGGTGGTTATTTGAGTCACTGTTGCCCTTCTATCAGCTCCAACCAGTCTGGCCATTCTCCTCTGACCTCTGGCATCAACAAGGCATTTCCGCCCACAGAACTGCCGCTCACTGGATGTTTTTTCTTTTTCGGACCATTCTCTGTAAACCCTAGAGATGGTTGTGCGTGAAAATCCCAGTAGATCAGCAGTTTCTGAAATACTCAGAACAGCCCTTCTGGCACCAACAATCATGCCACGTTCAAAGTCACTCAAATCACCTTTCTTCCCCATACTGATGCTCGCTTTGAACTGCAGGAGATTGTCTTGACCATGTCTACATGCCTAAATGCACTGAGTTGCCGCCATGTGATTGGCTGCTTAGAAATTATGTGTTAACGAGCAGTTGGACGGGTGTACCTAATAAAGTGGCCGTTGAGTGTGTGTGTGTGTGTGTGTGTGTATGTATGTATGTATGTATGTATGTATGTATGTATGTATGTATGTATGTATGTATCCATCCATCCATCCATCCATCCGAAGAAGATGTCCGAGCCACCTCAACTGACTCCTCTCGATGTGGAGGAGAACCGGCTCTACACTGAGCCTCTCCCGAATGACCGAGCTCCTCCCCCTATCTCTAAGGGAGAGCCCAGCCACCCTGTGGAGAAAGCTCATTTTAGCCGCTTGTATCCGGGATCTCGTTCTTTCGGTCATGATCCAAATTTCATGACCATAGGTGAGGGTAGGAACGTAGACCGACTGGTAAATTGAGAGCTTTGCCTTTTCGCTCAGCTCTCTCTTCACCACGACAGACCGGTGCAGCGTCCGCATTATTGCAGCAGCCGCACCGATCCGTCTATTGATCTCCCGCTCCATTCTTCCCTCACTGGTGATCAGGACCCCAAGATACTTGAACTCCTCCACTTGAGGCAGGGACTCTCCTCCAACCTGAAGGGGACAAGCCACCTTTTTCCGGTCGAGAACCATGGCCTTGGACTTGGAGGAGCTGATTCTCATCCCGGCCGCTTCACACTCGGCTGCAAACCGGCCCAGGGCACGCTGTAGGCCTTGGCAGGAGGGAGCCGGCAGAACTACATCATCCGCAAATAGCAGGAACGAGATCCGCTGGTCCCCAAACCAGACCCCCTCCGGTCCTTGGCTCCGATCCCAAGCCCTATAGCGTGTTGGGAAAGGGAAAGGAGACAAACAGGAAGTTTTGGATGGATAGTGGGGACAAAACTAACAGAACTTAAATTAGATCAAATTAAATGTAGTCCAACTGTACCGTTAGCAGCAATCCCTCCCAGGATCATACCTGAAACTACAGTGGATTTGACTTGGTTAGAAAAGAACAAGAAGGCAATATTTATGATAAACGGATACAGAAATATGTTAATAGTTATTACAGTTACATTCAAGTATATACAGATGCATCTAAAAGAGTGAGTAATAGGCTACATTTTGCATTTTATATTCCAGTTTGCAATATCAAAGTAAATAGGAGAGTAAATAATGAATTATGAGTTTATACAGGAGAATTATTAGCAATTCTATTAGCATTACAATGGATAGAGAAAGTGAGACCATTAAGATCAATTATATGTTCAGAATCAAGTTCCGCTTTAATCAGTATAGAAAATCATAGTTCAGAAAGTAGATCAGACATTTTAATTGAAATACAGCAAGTTTTATATCAAGTTTAAATGATGAGTATTAGTGTTATATTTATTTGGGTTCCAGCACATATAGGGATCAAAGGAAATGAAAATACAGACAAGATTGCTAAGGAAGCATCAAAAAATGAAACCATTGATATGATGATTAACTTAAGACAGAAATTAAAAGCACCATTAAGCAAAGGATGAAGGAGGTAAAAACAATGGGAAGAAGAAAGGAGAGGAAGATGGTTTTATAGGATTCAACAGAGTCGGAGAAGAGGAGAGGAGAGCAGAAGGAAGCAGCAGAGAGGAAACAGTTATTTCAAGACTTAGATTTGGGCATAAAGGATTAAATAATACATTATTCAAAATAGGGAAACACATTTAGGCAAATGTGAACTTTGTGGACAAGATGAAACAGTAGAACATGCAGTGATGTAAGAAGTATAAGAAGAATTTGGTTAGAGACATAAACAAGGAGAAAGTGAAATTTGATTTGTTAGATATTCTGCAGAAAAAGTAAAAAATCTATGAATATTTATTTAAATATTTGATAATAGCAGGAATAATTAGGAGAATTTAGTTTTATAAAGTGACATTATAGATATATAGATAGGTATCTTTATGAATAGGCCATTCTGGTCCACACTCCTCACCAGTTGGTGGCGGTAATGCGCACACTGAAAAGTTGTTTGCCAACCGCCATTAAACAAAACAAGACAAGACAATAATGATCACTCAGAGAGTTTAAGTAGCATGAAATAATAACCGCATTCATCAGTCAGAACGCTTAATAACTTAAAGTTGACTTGATGGTGGATTTTATTGTTTTCTTTACTTTTGAGTCAGTAGTAATGAAATGAGTCACTATCGCAGGAAGTGGAATAGGACTAGAATAGTTTAAGTATATGCTTTTAAATTGTCCCTCTGCTGGTAGAAAACAATGTCTCCTTTAAATGAAAGTTTATTTTTAAGTTAATATAATAAATAAAAATAAACAATCAAGTTTTTCTTCAGAGTGTTTCAATCTCCTGGGATGCAGTCGGCTGAAACTCTGTAGATCCCTCCATCAGTCTTTCCACTTCTGCTTTATTCTTGGCAGTTTGACTGTGCAACAGAAAAACAGGCAGTTTCCTTAAATCTTGTTAAATGATGTAAAACTGGGCGTCTAGACCAGGCATCCCCAAACTCGGTCCTCAAGGCCCGCTGTCCTGCAGGTTTTAGAGGTTTCCTGCTCCAGCACAGCTGATTTTAATTGAAAGCTGATTAACTGGCTTTTGGTCTACTGCAATCATTATAACCAGCTGTGCTGAAGCAGAGAAACCTCTAAAACCTGCAGGACAGGGGGCCATGAGGACCGAGTTTGGGGATGCCTGGTCTAGATGCAACGAATGTGGAAAGCTTCAAAAATGGCAGCAGCAGCAGCACAGACTTGGGAAGAATAATCTACAGAGCAGGAAGGATGGAGATGGTTCTGGTTCTGCTGCCGGTCCAAACAGTAGTGCTAACTTTGAGCTTTTTCTTCTACAGATTCTATCAACAATCCAGCTGTGGCCAAAGTTAAACATTGATGCAGCAACATGAGAAAAAGGGAGAACAAACCGTGCAGGAGATTTCCTGTTCTGACTGAAACCAAAGTTCTCCTCATCATTTCATTCATTTCCTAACAAACTAGCAGCCATCAAAGAACGACGAGTCTAAACTGTTGAATAGATGCTTTTCAACCTGCTGCTGACGGAGGGAGCAGGAGGTCCAGGTCTCCAGGTCTGGGTTTGGCCATCTGCTGAATGCTGCTCTCTATCGTCACCATCTTCTCCTCCATGAACCTGTCAGAGCTTTAGCTGTCAAACTGAAACCGTGATATGGGCTTCTAGCTGTAACATCACTCACTTCTTCTGCTCTTCAATTGTGTGGACCGTAGAGCTGAACTGAACCTTACGCTGCATCAGCTCCTCCTTCAGAGGCTTGTTCTTCAGGATCTGCTGCTCCAGGCTGACCAGCTGCTGCTTCTGAGCCTCTAACCTGGCAGCTGATGATCAGGAGCAGAAAATGAAGACAGGAATCACTAACATGCTGCTCTCTACAGTCTGGTCAAAGTTTGTGTTTGAGAAAATCTGGATTTGATTCAGTTGAATTGTTTCTGCTGCAAACAGAACTGATCTCTCTGAGTCTGGAGGCATAATGTGGGTCAGAAGCTGAAAGCTGCTGTAGATGTTCAGGTTGGACCTAAGAAGACCAGCTGATCTTTGCTGACTGATCTGAAATGTTTGGTTTTCAGTTCAGAGATGCTGGTTCTCTGATGGAGATGATCTGATCTTCACAGACATGGAGGCCCAAACTAGCGTCCCTAACAGGAAGCCGGCAGCAGACAGGAGCCCAGACTGATCAGATCCAGGAAACCTTCAGCATCAGACATCAGGAGGGATCAGATCTACATCTAGACCACCTTCAGGTCCCTCAGACTTTCAGGAGGAGCAGCTATTCAGTCTCTGTCAGCATCTTACCCTGCATTCTCTCCACTACGACCAGTTCCTCCTCCTCCTCCTGCAGCTCCTTCTTCTCCTGACTGATCAGCAGCTCCAGGTCCTCTGTGGCCTTTCTATCTGCCTGCACCTGTAGCTGTTCTTCCATCCACTCGCTGTTCTGATCCTCTATTTCCTGCTGCTGCAGAACCTCCTGAATATCAGGAGTGTCTTCATGCAGAGCTCTGATCTTCACAGCAATGTCTATGTTCTGTTCCCTCAGTTTGTGGCACTGAGCCTGATACCTGCAGGACGATGAGACACGCAGAGGGAAACCAACATTAAAGAGTCACAGAGTCCGATGGAGGCAGATGCACTGGCTGAACTGGAGACAACAACCAGAAATCAGACCGTTTACTGGTTTTTAGCAGAAAAAAAAAGTTAGAAATCTCTGCATGTTTACAAGAAGAGGAGCGAACACAGCAGGAGAAATGATCAGAGCTCAGTTCCTCCAGAACTTGCAGATGAACCCTGATAAGCAGATGTTAACTCGCCGTTCATGTTGGATCAGAACCAAAGAAAAACCCTCCAGACCAGAGGGAAGCATGTAAACCATCCAGGGCCGTCATTAGGTTTGAGAGACATGGGTGGCTTAGCCCCTAGGTAAGATATTGCGCGCGCGCAGCGCGCGCCGAAATTTTTTCAGTGCACTTTCTAAGGCGCTGTCTATAAATTCATTATTTTAAGAGCAACATACCTGGGAAACACTTCCCTCACTAATGCTACTTCACCAACTAAACTACACCAGTTAAAATGTGCTAAATTACAAAGAGTAAATGGTAGGTGCCATGCATTACTGCATAAATGGAAGAAGGCAAGTGGTTCGCCACTCATCATAATGGAAACCTTCTACAGAAGACAGTTGTCTAACCAACAGACTCCCAACATCTTCATAAACCCTTAACCTGGCCATTCATCTTTCCCCATCTCCCCTGCACCCACAACCTGTCAGGAACCCCTGTCTGCTTTGCAATAACCCTGTTTCTGTGTGTGTGCTTGGTGTGTGTGTGTGACCTGGACTTTGGCATGTCTTTCTCTACACCTGGCACAGAGAGAAACACATATATGTGAGGAACTTAACAATAAATGCAGCATTATCTTTGATAGATTTCTGCTTAATCTAAAGTTTAACCACAAAATACAAGTTGCATAAATGGACAGTAGGCAATAGGCAATAGCATCATTGCAAAGAAGGATATCCTTGAGACTTTTTCACATCAGTCTGACAAAGTTTTAATGCAAATAAAGGAAGTATTTTTAAGTACAATGTATTAATGAAAACACAAAATCAACAGTATATGAAACGTACAACTTAGAACTATAGTCAACCCAAGGAAGCACTACCATATCACACAGTGTCGCCCTATCAGACTGGTGGCACATAGATATGGGAGAATTATCCTGCCATAATGCAAGAGCACATAACTTCAATTAGAGAAAAGAATTTCATCTTCTTGCACTCAAAACTTATAATGCTCACACTCAAAACATGCGCTCTCTCTCAAATATTTTCTCTTCTCTCAAAAATCTTTGTTTCTTCTCTCAGATTTAAACATATTTTCTATATTATCACAGATATTTTTTCCTCTCGCTTGCCTCCATCTCCGCTCTGCACGGGTCTCAGTTACGCTCTGCTTGCGGATTTGTTTTGCTCTCTCAGACTGCAGTTGGATCGTTGCCTAGCAACCTTTCCAGCCAATAGAACGACAGCCTCGGAAAAGGTGCGCTTGTTTAACCCTACGGAGTGTGCCTGTGCTACTACGCCACTTATAAAGCGTCAGCTGAAACTGCTATTTACAGTAGTTTTGTGGCTGATTGTTGTTTAGAAATAGAAAACCTGGTTTCATTTCTTAGTTTTGCCCTGGATTTTGTAGCGTTTGTGGACGCTACGTCGCTACTTGATCAAAACAATAACGTCGCTACAGGAAAGTTACTTGATAAATAAAGCAGCGACGCTACGGTCAAGCTACTTGAAAATGTAGTTAAACTAATAGCTTCGCTACATGTAGCGGCGCTACTGCCCATCACTGCTCCTGTGACAAAACTATTATAATGATGCTAGTAGGCTACAACAACATCGTGTTTTCCCACACCACTGACTTTGTTCACCATGGTAACGTAATTCCTACTGAATCAGACAAGCTATTAGGCCTATATTGTCTCTTTCCTCACTCCAGGTAAAGTGAAGAAAATGTAAACCGCTGACATCAAATGGCAAACTCACCGTATGTATCTGCACACAACCATAACTTTCCTAATCAAGCTCGATGACTGTGTGGAGATTCAAAGGGCGCGCTGTTGCTGCACTGCACAGCTGCTATGGTCCAGTTGATGGCCGTGTACCACGTGACGTGACGCTGGACGCGGAGCCAATGAAGGAAATGAATATCCTAACGATATTAATAATTGTATAAATAATTGTGTTTGTAAATAAACTAACAGGAACTTATCTTCAGATTAACTTGCCTTCTTGGTGGCTCGTTTTCAGTGCTTTACTGCAATTGTTTGGGGTTATATGGAAAAAAAATCAATAAATAAAAAAATAACAATAAAAATCGCAAAATAATTATGGGGTGGCTAATACCAACGAAGGGATGACTTCAGCCACCCTAAAATAGGTCTAGCCACGTCCCTGAAACCATCTTTAACTATTGCAGATTCCTCATCACCTCTAGTTCCCTCAGCACCACGGGGCTGTGATGTATAGCATCTGTTTGGGGGGGGTCAGCTTCCTTCCAACAGACCTGCAATCACCACTAACCCCCTCAGCCCCTGCCTGCCCCTCACTGTACCGTGCAGACCAGTGCTGCACTGAGCTTCCACACCAAAGAAGGAACAAGAGCAGCTGGAGAAACAGAAGCTGTGGAGGAAAGCCTCGTCATTGCAGACCATCTGAAATGTTTTATGTGTTGGTCTTGGATTCTGGTCAAATGGAAAAACACTCAAAATATAAAAAAAACATGCTTTGTGATTTATGTTTTCCTCACAAATCCCCAAACAGCTTATTGTTATGTAACTTCTAGCCACTAGGGGCGCCAGAGGCCACTGGCAGCACTGTAGGATCCAGTATCTGGTTCTGGTATTAGACCAGTTTAGACCTAACCTGACTCCGTCAGATGGATTTGCTCCTCATATCCATCTGGAAACCTTCCGTTGAAGTAATTTTGGGAAGGGGCGAAAATACTGGTTAGCTGATTGTCCTATGTTGGTGATAGACGGGCCAAATAAACCAATCAGATCAACGAAGCATATGACGTACTAACAGAGCGACGACGAAGAGGAGCCAATTGAAAGATCAAACTCTTGCTGAAACCAGTCGGGAGAAGAGCAAAAACATCTTTTCCTCTGAGGAAAGCCTCCAGAGCAGTGTTTTGCTTTTCTTTCAGTGAAGAAATACTCTGTAATTCCGATAAAACTTGCTCGATAGCCACGCTAACGCTAGTTTCATCGGCTGAAGCCGCCATGTTCTTTAGACTGAACTGTCGCGCTTCTCGTTGCGTCACACCTCAACCCACCTCAAAGCCAACGCTGATTGGACGTTCGTTTGGTGAACGGCTCCAAATTTTCTTTAACGGAGAGTCTCCAGACTGATCTGCGAGTGAAACCTTGAAAGCTTGCGAGATCAGGATGGTCTCACGAGGCTAGTTTAGACCAGCAGCTTGAGAAGTCGTGGAGTTTCTGGTGAAGACGAAACCAAGAGCTGAATACTGACCTGAAAAATCTATTAGTTTATTTAAGATTCAGCTAATCTGGGGTCAAAGGTTACACAGCGCTGCTTTAATAAATAAAATCCTCAATCCTTTAAAAAAGCATTTTGTATTTTATCAGTTTAACTTTGTCTGAGATTGAACTGTGTTTGATAATCGGATCCATTGGAGGCGTTCAATAAGCCAGATTGAACCCCCACTGTTAGAGCTCTCTGCAGGGAACATCTTTTTTTATTCAAATGTATGCATCTCCATGCATAATTCCAATTATTTCCACCAAAACCATGGGCGTTTCTCAATTCACGAGAACGCGAGTACGTACTTGCGTTCTCGTCAAGTCCGTTCTTGGTGAGAAGGCAGGAAGATCGGACTTGACGAGAACGCGAGCACGCAAGCACGTATGTGTATTGGAGCAGAAGCGTACTCGTGACGTCATCACAGGCAACGTTGTTTAGCATTTCTTTAACAGTCAAAACTATTTATTCTCTACACAAAACATTTTGAAAACAATATTTTTAATTTCTAAAGCTTAAAAAACATTTTAAAAAAATTACCGAACCGCCATCAGAACGAGCGGTAGTTCACACATAACTAGACCGAGAGAAGTGCACTACAGACGGGGTAAATTTAGCCCTGGCTGCGGTTACCCTCGGAGGTCTGCTGGTCACTCTGGTCCGCTCAACGTCGGACTTTTTTTTTTAAATTTCGCACTAACTCTGTAAACAGGCCACACAGGGAGGCTTCAATGTATAATGTTATCGCCTCAAACGATTTCAAAACGTACTTTTTAAGAACAACAGCAGCAGAAAAGGGAATGTTTAACTTACCACTGTGAGCGCTGTCTGGAATCAAGCTGCGGCCGCGGGGCATTCTGGGGAAGCGGTCAGTCTGAAGAACGCACAAGTCTGCTCTGATGCATGCTCGATAAAGAGGGCGGGGTGAGAACAACATCCGGGGATTTGGTGCGTTCTCGATCTGGCGTTCTTGAGAATTGGAACGGTACTCGGGCTGAGGCTGATGACGTGTCACGAGTACACGAGCACACGAGAACGCTCAAGAACGCATATTGAGAAACGGCCCAGGACTGAGATCAGAATATTTAAACCTCATAGAGCATCTGATCAGGTCTGTTTGACTGAAAATCCAAAAAATCTAACCTTAAAACTCTCCTGTTTTAACGGATCTCTGGGACTCAGTGTGAGATCAGAAAAAGTTGATTCATACAGAACAGCTCAGGAAATGCAGCCATATAAAGTGGAACCAGACTTAAACTGGTTTCCAGTAGAATGCAGTAAAACCAAAGGATGAACTGGTCGTAGTTCCCCGTCTCTCACCTCTCCAGCCGCTCCATCAGGAGTTGAAACAAATCCAAAGGTTTGTCTTTGTCCGGAGCGAAGTCTCTGTTCTCCATCTCACACCAGTTTACCTTCTGGCTCTATGAAGTAAAAGATGCTACAGTTGGGTCTGAGAGCGGCAGATTACATCAGAGGAGTTCAAAGAACATCAACAGGCATTTGCTGTTGCTAGGCAACAAAGGGTTCAGTTTCAGATTCCAACTGATCTGAAATCAGTTCCTCTGTAAATCACCAACTAACAGATCCTAACTGAACTTCTAACGAGTCTAAAGATTCGGTTCATTTTCATTCTGATGTTTTTAAACTTTCTGTTCTTCTTTTTGTTTCCTGGTTTTATGTTTTAAATGTTTCTTGGTTTAAATCTGCAGCACTTTGTGGCAGCTGGAGTTGTTTTGAAAAGCATTTTAAATGAATGAATGAGTCATTCTGTTGACTAATGCAGAGCGCTGCTTACTGGGATCTTCAGGTATTACATTTTATTTTTATTTTATTATTATTTTTTTTATCCTTTATTTAATCAGGTAATACCCATTGAGATTAAAAATCTCTTTTGCAAGGGAGACCTGGCCAAGATAGGCATCAAAATTACATCACATCATTACATACTGTTACTGTCCAAGGCCTTTTCCTCTGGGTCTCTAACCTCCATGTTTTGGACTCCTTAATTGGTGCTGATTGGAAGTGGAGGCAGCTGGCCAGTGTCTCCAGATGACGTCAGATCCACTTTAAGATGTACCACTTTCTTTGACTAAGCCCCTTATTTTCTTTCTGTCTCCCTGCCACTCTCTCCCCCTTCTCTCTTTCTTCCCCAACCAGTTATGATTTTTGTTAAATAAATTCCCTCTTTAAGTTATCCCTAGTGTTGCTTCCCTTTCATTTGTTATGGTTTAAGAGCCGGACCATAGCAAATTGGGGGCTTGTTCAAATTTATGTTAGGTTTGTTACGTTAGTTAATTAGTAAACATTGTTTGTTAATTTAATTGGGAAGCTAGTGTGGAAATCTTGAGTTTAGTTTTGGGCAACTGTTTTTTTTTGTTTCTTTTTTCTCTGGTTTGGGGTAAGTGGCTTGCTTTTATCTCATCTGATGAGCTCACTGGTAAGTCTTGATTGTTGTCCGATTTGTGCAGTTCATTATGTCTGATCTGAACGCGATTCCCCTGTAGGCCTCAGCGTGTCTCCCCTTTGGGATTCATGTGCTCAAAAACAATAGTGTGAGATCATATGGTTGGAGCAGTTGTCTCGGGGGCACAGCCATAGTGTTGGGGGGGTTGCCGATTTTTTTTTGGTCGCCTCTTCCACTCCACTGGTATTAAGTGCGTAAATACCCACCGTCTCTGATCTCTGAAGACTAGGGTTGAGCTAGAAAGTTTTGATAGGCAGTTAGAGGGGAGGTTCGGGTTGGTTGTTTTGTGTTGCACGGATTGTCAGCAATTAAACTTTTGAATCATTGTTTTTTTGATTAAGACTTTAGTCATGTCTGTGGAGGACTTTAATAAATCCCCATCAGTAGAATTTTTGGAGCAATGTTCTAGAGAACAATTGGTAAAAATTGCTGAACACTATAAAATAAGTGTTGGTGACAAAAGGTTGAAAGACAATGTCAAAGCAGTTTTAAGGGAGAACCTAATTGAGATGGGTGTTTTGTTTTCACCTTCCAGACCTGAAGATTTGGGTGCTCGCGTTGTAAAGCCTGACCTTTTGGATTTTGAGCAACAAAAAGAGATGTTAAGGTTGAGAATGCAACTGGAGAAGGAAAAGGAGTTGGCTTTAGAGAGGTTACGACAGCAGGCAGATTTGGATAAGGCTCTTGCTGTGGAAAAGATGAGACAGGAAACTGAATTGGCGAGAATAAATTTGGAAAGTGAAAAACTAAATCTGGTGAAAGATGGCAAATTATCTGTGGAATCTTGTGGTGGGGAAAATGTGGTGGGGAAAATGCAAAACCTCTGATATTTTAAATGACTTGCGTTTGGTGCCCAAGTTCAGTGAAAAGGATGTTGACACTTTTTGCACTTTTTGCACTTTGTTTGAAAGGGTTGCAGACACAAGAGATTGGTCTGATTCAGACCGCATAATTTTGCTTCAGTGTGTTTTGGTTGGTCGTGCTCAGGAAGCTTTCTCTATGTTGAGTTTGAATGATAGCCAAGATTATGCTAGGGTTAAAGCTGCAATATTGAAAGCATATGAATTAGTCCCTAAAGCATACAGACAAAAGTTTAGAAACTGGAAAAAAGGTGACAAAACTTATGTGGAATTTGCAAGAGATTTGGAAATTCATTTCAACCGATGGTGCACTTCCTCTGAGGTTATAACACTTGGTGACCTCTGTAATTTAATGGTTTTGGAACAATTTAAAAACTCTGTTTCTCATAATATTGCAGTGTACATTAGTGAACAGAAGGTTAAAACGGTGTCAGAAGCTGCAGTGTTGGCTGATGATTTTGTCTTGACGCATAAAGATACAAGTGGAGAGCATGCAGATGGAAGGAGAGTTCCAAACTGGCATTCCACACATTCTGGAGGTTCTTTTCTTGATCGCAGTAACCATGATCTGGACAAAATTTGTAATTATTGTCACAGGAAAGGTCATTGGAAGAAAGACTGTGCTTTGCTGAAATCCAGAAATAAAAATGGAACTCAGGCTAAACCAGCAGCGTTTGCTGCATCAGTTTCTGTAAGTGTTCCTCACAAAGTGGCTGAAGTAAAATCTCCCGTGAAATCTGATTTGATTTCGTACAAACCATTTCTGTTGGAAGGACAAGTTTCTTTGGTTGGGAGTGATGTTAAGGTGCCAGTTACTATCTTAAGAGATACTGGTGCATATGATTCGTTCATTTTGGCATCTGTTTTACCTTTTTCAGATGATTCTGACACTGGATTATCTATACCTGTGTTGGGTATGGGCATGTCTGTGTTTTGTGTTCCAGTACATAAACTCATGCTCCATTCAGAGTTGTTTGAAGGAGAAGTAAGGATGGGTGTGAGACCTGCGCTGCCTGTGATGGGTGTTACAGTTATACTGGGGAACTATATAGCTGGAGGGAAAGTCTGGCCTGATCAACCAGAGTCTCCAGTTGTTGTTTCAGTACCTTTGATCAGCAGTGGTCCTGATGACAGTGAAAAGTCACACCCTGACATTTTCCAAGCATGTGCTGTGACACGGGCAATGACAGCATCCACTGATGTACATCAGGATGTAGACTTGGGAAAAGATAAATGGATTCCCTCTTTATGTTTGTCTAATATTCCTCTGTCTATTTCACAGAATGATCTGGGACAGGAACAAAGATCTGACCCCACCATACAGCATTTATTTCAGTCTGCATTGTCTGCTGAGGAGTTGCAGAGCCATGCTCATGGGTACTTTGTTGAAAACGAGATATTGTTAAGGAAGTGGATGCCATGTGGTGAGAATGTTATTGGGGAGCCAGTTTATCAGGTTGTGGTGCCTTTGAAATGGCGTGACTTGGTTTTACAGGTGTCTCATGATGAATCTGGACACATGGGAGTTAGGAAAACCTACGATCGCATTTTGAGAAATTTCTTTTGGCCACGACTGAAAAAGGATGTTTCTTCTTATATTAAAACTTGTCACACCTGTCAACTTACTGGTAAACCCAATCAAGTGCTAAACCGGGCACCACTGTATCCTATTCCAACTATTGGTAGACCGTTTGAGCACTTAATAATTGATTGTGTGGGTCCTCTTCCCCCTTCACGTTCAGGTGCGAAGTACTTATTGACTGTTATGTGCCAAAGTACCAGGTATCCAGCAGCATATCCATTGCACACACTTGCTGCAAAGTCTGTGGTGCGGGCTCTTATGCAGTTTATTGGTATTTTTGGGATACCTAAAGTCATTCAGAGTGACCAAGGATCTAATTTCTCCTCTCATATGTTTGCACAGGTTTTGAAGCAGCTGCACATTAAGCATAACCAGTCTACAGCATACCATGCGCAGAGCCAAGGAGCACTGGAACGATTTAATCAAACATTAAAATCTTTGCTCCGTGCTTATTGTGTTCAGATGAATGCTGATTGGGAGGATGGTCTACCTTGGTTGTTGCTTGCAGCAAGAGAAGTAACACAAGAGAGTACGGGCTTTAGCCCTAATGAATTGGTGTTTGGTCATACTGTGCGTGGTCCGTTAAAAGTTTTGAAAGATGAGTGCCAGGATGCTGAACCACCACAAAACCTGTTGAATTATGTTAATGGGTTTAAGCAGAGACTCTTTACTGCTACTCAGTTGGCAAAAGAGAAACTATCATCTGCACAGGAAAAGATGAAGCGTTTGTATGATAAGAAAGCTGAACATCGTGTTTTCCTTTCAGGTGATCAAGTAATGGCTTTACTTCCTGTTGTGACTTCGCCATTTCAGGCCAAATTTTCTGGTCCGCACACAGTTTTGAAACGGCTGTCTGACCAAAACTATCTCATTGCAACTCCAGAAAGGCGGAAGAAACGGCGAATGCTTCATGTCAACTTATTGAAACCTTATCATGCTCGTGCTGATAATGTCTTGGTGGATGAAGTTCACCCTGTGTGCATTGCTGAAACAGTGACATGTGCTGGTGATGAAGGGAGTGGTGATGGGTTGCCTGTTCCAGATTCAGCCATGTTAACTGGTCGACTCAAGAATTCCGAAGTATTGGACAGCATAGATACTGTACTAAGTTATTTGTCAGAATCTCAACGCTTTGAGTTGATTCAGTTGATAAAATCCCATTCTGGTTTATTTGCAGACGTCCCATCCTGCATGCACCTGATCGAACATGATATTGAGGTGGGTGATGTACAACCCATAAAACAGCAGTTTTACAGGGTTAACCCAGAGAAACGTAAACATCTGGATGCTGAGGTTGACTACATGTTAAAAAATGGCATCACTCAAGCATCATGTTCAAGCTGGTCTTCACCTTGCTTGCTGGTTCCAAAATCGGACAAAACCTATAGATTTTGTTGCGATTTTAGGAAAGTCAATAGCATAACCAAACCTGATTCGTATCCTCTACCTCGTATGGATGATTGCATTGACCAGATTGGTAATGCTAAATTCATTAGTAAGATAGACCTGTTAAAAGGTTATTGGCAGGTCCCTTTAACTAAAAGGGCACAAGAAATTTCTGCTTTTATTACACCAAGTGGCTTATATTCATACAATGTTATGCCTTTTGGCTTGAGAAACGCGCCAGCGAC